GTGCGGAGCCGGCGAGGAGAGGGGTCGGACGGCTGCTGCGGAGACCGGTACGGGAGGCGAGGAAGCCAAAATGCAAGAGGGAGAGAGGTGCCGGCCTCCCGGGGTGGAAGGAACGTCTGAGTTAGGCTTCTGACAGCAGACAAGGTTTTTAACACTAAAAGTCATGGTTAGAAGCCAGAAAGTTTGGTTGCAGCTTAGATGTGGGAGTTCCACAACTGCCCTGAAAGCCCCTGTGTTATACGAGCAGGAATACTTTAATTCTCTCTTCCACTGGATAAATAAAAGGTAGCAGAGTGATTTCAGAGGAAAGACAAGCAAGTGACAACAACAAAACGCTTTTTAGGAAGCAACAGGACATTAGTACAAGAAACGAGAAGCATAAAGACCCACAATCCAGTGGGCATCTCCGGGGAATGCAAGGGCAGAGATACAGGAAAGCAGTCAGAAGGAGGTTATTTCCAAAACTATTCTTCATGTTAGTCTTTTCAGTACATCATCTAGGAACACGAGAGTTCAAGGAAGGCGGCAAGAAACAGAGCACTGAATGCTCTAAGCAGACACCAGAGGAGGTGAGAAGGAAGTGTTTATCAACCCGCTACCAGCAAACAGAAGAGCAGCTCGGACTACAGAGCCTAGCTAAGGGCTTGAACCCAGGCCAAGCCCTACTGCATGCTCTACTAAATACAATATTCTAAGTAGTGATTTGTGCGCGGTAGTGCTGATACGCCTGGGAGTTACCTATTTCAAGGCAGATCAGTGGCTCTGCAGAAGCTAAAAAGGGTTAGTAGCCAACAATTGTACCTGAGCATCTCCGTAAAACTCTCTAGGATGTTCATGGAGAGCAACCCAGGTTGTACAACCTAATTAGGCTAGCGATCTTGCTACAGAACTGACGACTGAGTAATTTTAGCATGCTGTTTTACCCCAAATGATCCATACCCAAGAAAAGCATGGACATTTCCCCTTATGCTGGCAACTCACCGTATTTTAGTTCACAGATCTGACTGTCTTTCTTCTTTAGTTTCTCACAGATCTTTTCCACGGGGATGTGATGACTCATGGGCTTTGATACCTCGTTTATGATTTTGGTGGCTGCATCACTTGTGGCCCCAACATAATAGCACTAGAGGGAAGAAAAGAATGAGGTGGGGATGCATGGAAAAATGCTTCTAAAAGGAGAGTTTTCTACCCATCTTCTCTCCTCACTTGGTTTTGCAGCTAGATGTTTACTGTTACAGAACCTTTCCAAAGGACAGCTACAGGCAGGCAAAAGGAAGCCTAACTCTGAGCCCAGGGCACTGAGCAGACGTGTCCCATCACACTGCTTTTAAAGCTGTGGAGGCTGGTTGTCTTGTTTCTCAACTTTATAAAAAATTAAATTGGATTAAGAATAAAGTCTTCTTCATTCAAGGAGAAAGACTTTCTGAAGTGTTCCCGCTCTGTATTTCTGATGGTGTCTCTCTGCAGTTTTCTTCTTGGGAGAGTTCAGGGCCTTTTCCTTGGGGCTCTTCATTTGCGGATTGCCTTCTGGTTTTAGTTAGGGCAATTTGGTTTTCCTTTCTTTAGTTTTCAGCTAAACAGCTGAAGAGCATAAATATTTTAACAGCTTATATAGCACCCCAAATACAGTTTAAGGGACAAGGAAGTCCTACAGCAAATAAAAGCTTTGTAATCCCCAGCGCTTCAGTAACAGGGAGAAACAAGGTCAGCCAGTAAGATGTCTGTTGACAGACTGGTTTTTAAGGTGAAGAGGTCAAATTCAAGTCTTCTCTTATAAAAAATACAGGACCAATTGTAGCCACAGAGCTAGGAAGAACAGCCCCTGGGAAGCCTTACCATACAAACTCAGAAGCACTAGTTTCCCCTCGTTTGCCAAGTATCCTACAACTTACTCCCTCAGGAGGCAAGTATCATTGACTACTACTACTTACCAGGCGGTTCTCTTTGCCTTTTGCTTCTTTGCAGGATTTCAAGAGCTCCTTTTCAATACTGGCAGGTGTGAACTCAACATCGTTGTCCTTTAGACTCTGGTAGAACCTTCCCAGGAACGTAACACACACTGGAAGGGAAGATGGATGGAGTTACCTGCCACTGCAGTAATCTCGTGGCAGCTCTTAGAGGGCCCTTGTAGTGAAACAGAATAAGGGGTTTGGAGAACCGAACTTCTAGAAGCTGCTTTAGCAGTCAGTGACTTCACACATATTTCAGTAAGTCTTTCAGAGCACACGTGAATCAACGATATGCCCTGGTATTTTTGGTGGATTTTTGACAATCTGAGAAACCAGATCCATGGAAGTGTCCAGTGGCTTCTGTACACTGTCCTGAGTGAGCAGCAGGATTCAGCTGAGGGATACAACACAAAACAGTGCCCGTGCAAGAACGTAAACTTAATTTTCTGTCTTATTCTTGCTGTTTTGGGAAGCAACTTGTCAGACCACAGGCTTCAAAACCAGTTCTGATTGAAAAACACTCTACATAATCACGTTACAGACGCCATGTGTGCTGGTTTTAGCAATATGGTATCACTGATTATCAAGTTGGTTGAGTTCATAGGTGAGTCATTTCCAAGAGAAAAAGAAATTATGTGATCACACGCTATGTCCACTTGGCGTGTTTCTCCTCTCTTCATTCGCACAAGCTTCTGCATTAGTTTCAGACTGAAAGAGGGAAGAGTCTTAAAGATAATGAAACTCCCAACAGTGCACCAGCAGTTGAGAGGACAGATCCAAGTTCCTGCCTGTGGGAGGGCAGGTACAACTCAGTCATTACACTTTCCCTTGGCAGCAGTCACTCCGCATACGCTGCAGACCAGGCACAGCACACCCGCCTGTCACTGGGGAGGAGGGCAGACAGCTATGGTTACGGCAGCACGCGGGGTCTGTGCGACAGGGCGACTGAGAGAAACACTGCCAGTTTGCAGAGTGTCAGATTTCGCTCATTCTGCTGCTCACACAACTGGCCTGTGAACATTGGCATCGCCTGGACCGAGAGCTCTATGGCCCCACCAATTCCTGCAGCAGGACCTGTGGATTCTCACAACTTCCAGGTGTGAGACAAGTGCCAGGCACTGGCCTGCCTCTAGAGGAAAGGTGCAAGTTATGTCCTTTATGTGATTTGTTTACCCCAACAGGAAGGGATCGGCAGATATTATTGTCATTAGCAACTTGTATTCGACTCTGAACACAAGCCATGGCACAGGGGATGGGCAAATACAGGAAATCGAGTATGACCAGCACAAAGCCAAACAGAAACTTACTCTTGTTACATTAAAACTAGATGTAATTATAAGCTGGGCCGATTAGGAAAACATTTTTTTGTATGCATACACCACCATCATTTACCTCACATCAGTTTGTCCCCAGTCACAGACACACACTGATGTCCACTGTGCGCTGTTTGGAAGTGAAAACCTTTGGAAAGAATAAAGATGCTGCAGGCAGTGGTACTGATGACTACAGTACAGTTGAAACAAGTTTCCGATCTAGTGGTGGGACAGCAGCTGAAAGTTTTGATTTACTATGTTCCCTCCCCCTCCTTCTGTCTTACTGTTTCTCTCTCTACAAAAAGGAGGAAGGGGTGAGCGTTAGTACCACAAATTCCCAACTAGTTACTATAGCCCCACCTCAAGTTTTTCTTGCTTCACCTGGGGAATCTGTTCTGTTCCACCAGAGCAGTTTCATTTGCTGTGCAGCTCAGCAGCTTCCACCCCGGAGGCTTTTGTATTTAGGTGGTACTGGTGCCCAGTTTGTTTTAGATCAGCTGAACACCGCTTCTGGCTTCACGCGTTAAAGAGAGGACACCCAACACTCCAGCAGTCAGTGGACAAAGCCGAGGCAAACGTAACACTGTGATGAGTAAGGGGGGAGCCCAGGTGAGTCACTGCGCTGGCTTCCCCTGCTTGCTGCCTGGCAGCAGCTCGCTGCTTCGGTGCTCCAGCCACCGTCACCCGGCTTGGAAAGGGGACGGGGAGAGCGCTTCCCCACGCCCCGGCTCGCACACACCGGGCTGGGAAAGACGAG